TTTTTTTTTTTTTTTCAAAACACGTGCTCCATCTATTGGTGGGGAGCAGCACCTGCTGGAAACCGGGTCCAGCGTCCCATAGATACAACCATATGCTCTCGAATTGGCACAAGCTGGGAACCGGGCCCAGCGTCCCATGAGTACGTTCAGAAAAACCATGAGAAAATTTCATGACAATGAACCTAAGGATATACTGAGAAAGTCCAATTAAAAGGATTGAACGAATTTAGAGCTACTTCAGAGCTTTTGTGTTAGGGACTGCAGAGGTAAACAAAAAGCAGAAGAAGACTCGGGAATCCACCAACAGTCCTCCTCAACCCACTCCGGCAAGACTTACTGCAGCAAAGCCACCATCTCTACTGCTGCTATGCCCTATTTCTGTCCTACCAGCTAGCCCCTTCGCTAGCAGGAGGCGTGATACCTTTCTCTCTCGATCCCTTCCCTTCCCGTTACTCAGACAAAGGTACGGGAATAGACTGCAAAATTTCTAAAAAACCCCCCAATCCTGCAAAATCCCTAACAGATCCTTCCAAGGATCTCCAACACTGTCATATTCCCTGCAGAGCTTCCAGGCCTCACACCCCCTATCCTGCTGGGTTACAGGGCAACGCAACTCACCCCAGCTCCGGCCAGCGTTGTCTCAGCAGCAACCCTTAGTTGTCCCRTGGGATGCCCCCCCAAAGCACCSCCAGATCTCTCTACCAGGCCTCATGCCCCTGCGTCAACAGGTTACAGGGCAACACCCCAGCACCGGCCAGCGTCGKTYTGGCGTCGAACAGCCTTAGRTCACCGAGTATTACAGSTTGGAACTACCTAGAAGAGATTGCCAGGAAACCCGAGGATCCCGAAGACAGTTTAAAGACAGAACAGACTACCCCCTTTTTTGAGAATTTTTGAAAGTTAAGATACCGGGGCCATTACCCGGCTTTGACTCTGAGATATTGGAATGACTTCAGACGTGTCTACAACAGTCTTCATGATTTAAACAGGCCCCCCAATCAATCCCCTTGTCCCTACTCCAGCAAGACTTACTGCAGCMGAGCCACCATCTCTGCTRCTGCTGTGCTCTATTCCCATCCTACCAGCTARCCCCCTCACTAGTAGGACGCGTGACACCCCACCATCTACATGCCACAGTTCTGTCTTCGTCATCGAAGGGGAGGTCCCGGAAAGTCGACAAGTGCACCAGTTCTGTCTTTGTCATCGAAGGGGAGGTCCCGGATCACCCCTACCTCCCCCCCCACAACCTTTGGGCGCCCGAAGTTCTGCCGTTTGGTACTATGGGCCCAGGCGTAGGTCCAAGGGTTCCCCCCCTCCCCTGGCTGCCACGGCGCCGACGCGGTCTGCGAGGTCGCAGCCTGGGCCGCCCTCGGCCTCCGCCGGGGAGGATACGTAGCTGCCTATGCAAGTGATGGCTGCAGAGAATGACGTCACTCTTTGAGCCAGTCCATGTGGCTGATTGGTGTGCACTTTTAACAGATAAACAACATGTCATGAGTTCAGCTCCAGTTCGAAACAGAAGGATACAGTAAGGTCTGCCTCTTGTTTGTAGAAAAAGAAACGCTTGGGAAGAATCGATTGTCTGAAATTTGCTGTTCTGTTCTTCCGTGCCAATTGGTCTTTTTTCAGATCACAGAGCAGTTAGATTCGGAGGGTGAATGGACAAGAAGGAAGCATCATGACTCGGAGGACATTAGTGAGGATGAGGATGAGTCGATGTTCACCTTAAGACAGAAACAACAAGAAAGCGCGAGCGGCAAGAAGCAGAGCTCATACGAGCGTATGCAGGAAAAGACCCATACAGAAACAAAGAAAGAGGAGAAGGAGACGGAAGAAGTGAAGAAAGAGGAAACGAAGGAGAAGAAACAGGTGAAGAAAGGAGAGGAACACTCTTCCCAACAGCACAAGTCCAGGGAGGAGCAAAGATCCGAGGAAAAGGATAAGCATAGTGGTTCTTCAGAGGATGAATGGACGGAAGTTTCTGATGGACAAGGAAGCAAGAAGTGTGTGCGGAGGACAACCATCAGGCCTCGCCATAAGCATAGCGGGTGGGGTTCTGAGGATGAAAGTGATTACGAGTCTTCAGTTATGAAAAGGAGAGTGAAACGGGAAGAACAATGCAAGGGCCACGACAGTGGTGAAAGTAAGGAGGCAAGCATGAAGATGACAACGGAAGAGAAAAGAATTGCCCACGAAAAGAAGAGGCAGGAAGTTGATGTACACCATGCTGAAATTCAGGAAAAGCATAGAGAGAATAGAGAGGAGGTGGACAGGCGATACGCGGAGAAGGAATCACGGAAGGAGTGCCACAAGAAGGGAAGTGGAAGCGACAGCGAATGTAAGGAGCGTAAGGAGCACAAATCCGAGGAGGAGAACAAGTCAAAGGAGCACAAATGCAAGGAGGAATACAAATACGAGGAATGCAAGTCCAAAGAGCACAAGGAACGCAAGTCCAAGGAGGAGCACAAGGAATGCAAGTCCAAGGAGGAGCACAAGTCCAAGGAGGAGCACAAGTCCAAGGAGGAGCACAAGTCCAAGGAGGAGCACGAATCCAAGGAGGAGCACGAATCCAAGGAGCACGAATCCAAGGAGGAGCACAAATCCAAGGAGGAGCACAGATCTAAGGAGGAGCACAAGTCCACGGAGCACAAGGAGCACAAATCGAAGGAGGAGCACAAATTGAAGGAGGAGCACAAATTGAAGGAGCACAAATTGAAGGAGGAGCACAAATCGAAGGAGGAGCACAAATCGAAGGAGGAGCACAAATCGAAGGAAGAGCACTCGTCAAAAGAGGAGCACAAATCGAACGAGCACAAATCAAAGGAGGAGCACAAATTGAAGGAGGAGCACCAATCGGAGCACAAGTCCAAGGAGGAGCACAAGTCCAAGGAGGAGCACAAATCCGAGGAGTGCAAGGAGCACAAATCGAAGGAGCACAAATTGAAGGAGGAGCACAAATCGGAGCACAAGTCCAAGGAGGAGCACAAGGCCAAGGAGGAGCACAAGTCCTCTTCCTCCTTAGAGCACAAGGCCTCTTCCTCGTCAGAGCAGAAGGCCGCCTCCTCGTTGGAGCACAAGTCCAGCTGTTCATCACAAGGGAAGATCTCAAGCTCGGGTTTTAAATGCAGTTCGTCTTCAGCTAGCGAAAAGAAGAGTTCCGGGTCGGGCTCGAAGTCTAGTTCAAGTTCTTCGTTAGAAAAGAAGTCAAGTTCAAGTTCTCAAGAGAAGAGTTCGAAGGGTTCGTCGTCGGAAGGCACAGGAAATTATTCGATATCATACAGTGAGGAGGTCACAGAAGAAAGGATAAAGAAAAACGGTCGTAGGAAGAAACAAGCGAGCATAGCTAAGGAAGAAGAGTGGGAGGAGGAGGTGATCGTGATCGAGGAGGTCATTGATGACTTTATTTATTTATTTATTTTATTTTATTTTATTTTATTTTATTATTACTATTTTTTTTTTTGAACAAATGCTCCAGTCTATTCGTGGGGAGCAGCACGTGCTGGGAACCGGGCCCAGCGTCCCATATCGAATTATACAGATCATTGAGAAAATTTGAGGTCTTTTGAGGACATTTGAGATACCTGTTTGACGAACCAATTTTGTTCCGCGCGAATTTCCTGCGCGATGATAAGAGGGGTCTTTTGCATCGGGGGAAGTTGGGCCAATTACGGGAGATGGGGATCGACGGGAAATTATATCGGTGTCCTCGTTTCTTCTTCTTTTTGCATCGCTGCTTTTCGGACTGCTGGGGCCAGGGTTGGGCAAGTCCCGGGATGGACAGTTGAGTGGCGTGCCGCCGCAGCAGGCGCGCTTAATAATGGTTGACGTAGCTTCTTTTTGTTCTGCTCTCAGGTTTTCGGCGCGATGATCGCGCGAGAGTTTTACTTCTTTCTTTTTTTCTTTTCAAATATTGTAGAGCCCTCGACGGCTCTCGGAATTTCGGATTTTCTTTTTGGAATTTGTGCTTTATTGAAGTTCTTTTTGCATTTTTGAATTAGATAGGAATTTAGGAATTCGGAATTTCTTTTGCCGCGCGATGCTCTTTTTTTGTGCGCTTCTTTTTTGCGGCTACAATGGAGCTCTGATTAGTCGGCACCCTTAATCTTGTGTGCAACTGTAATCTTTGGGTGGGCGCCATTGTAACTGTATCTTTCTTCTTGAGCTTCGCCTTTCCCGCCCTCTTTTTTCCTTCAACTGTGTCTAGTTAGTCCGCGGGCTGCATGATCGGATCGATGCGTGGAGAGTGGCTACGTCCCCCACGCCGCGGTATGGCCATGCAGAACGTAGGCACTCCCTTCCCTTCTCTCCTTCAAGTCCTTGCAATTCCGTGTTCTTCGCGCATGCATGCACGCTATAAATTTTGAAAATGCCATTAGATAGCTCTCTTAGAAAGTCGTCGAAAGCTCGGGGTAGCGCGATCAGTGAGGGTCGGCTCACGAGCGAAGCAAGAGGTGAGTTGATGTGGAAGTTGGGCGACCTGATGGGCTGGTGCCGAATGTGCGGGGTTGACGCGTAGGCTACGACGGACTGTAGCGCACGGGCGAACCTGACAGGCACAGGAGGACTAAGCGGGGTGACAACTTCGTGAGTGGGTGCGTGATGACGGACTGTCCGCATCGGAGAGAGAGAGAGAGCAGATATGGAGGGACGTGGGATTATACTTTCTTTTTATCTTCTCCAGTCTTGTATATAAGTTTTGATTTCGGCTTCGGGCGATCCGCCCTTATTTTTTTTCCCTTTGACATCTTTGTCTTGGCTTCCACCCTTGTCTGATGCTTTACTCAGTTTCGACCCTTCCTCCTTTTTTGGGCGTGTTTGATGGGATGGATGAGTTTTGTGTATACGGGATGGTTGAATGACATGCTCGTCAATTGCTTAACATTCTCGCTCATCACTTGATTTGTTCAATGTCCAATAAAAAAAGTTGATGCTGTTGCGGTGTCCAGTGCATGCGCAAACAACGATTCTATGTCACCTTGCATGATCGAGAAATGTTTGTTGATTACAGGATGACTGAGTGATTGGATTGCTGGGTGCTTGTCTCCGCCACATGGCGATTTTGTATATGAGACTTGAACCTAAATTTTGCATGAGAGTCAGGTGACGGACATGTGTACGACCAGGCCCCTCGTGTGCGCATGTGTAAGTGCGAACCGATAAACGTTGCCTACACGTGTCCACACGCGGGCGGTCCGCGACCACCAAATGGACTTGGCACCTTCAGTACTGGGATGGGTATGAAATTTCCCCTTTGCGAGAACTTAAGCCAGTGAGGATTTTCGCGACCGTACCCGAAATTCCCTTGTCAGTCGGAGAACGATCGGGTGTGTGCGGAGGACTTCCACTACGCCACTACTAACGACCCACAGGGTCCTGACTACCCGGAGGCCCGTCACACACACTATTTCATATCCCCCGGCTTCGTCGCCATCTCCACCAATTTCCCTCCCTTCCGTCTCCTTCTCCCGTATCATCGGCTTACCGTAGTACCGTGGGATTCCATAGCCCCGTAATGGCCCCACACGTCGTGCCGAAATTGCAGACAGCGCGACCACCCCCGAACCTCCAGACTTACCCAGTGTAACCACAACGCGTGGCGCCAGCCACCACGCGTCCAAACGAGGGGGCCCAATTTGAAGAGGTCGTAATCCCCACGACGGACCCTTCCGCGTATTGAAGCCACGAGCCAACAAGGGTGGATCAGACGGCCCAAGATGCCCCACACGTGCCATCTGCCTTATGCTGCACGACTTTTACGGCCTCCGACTCGGGAACAACCTTTCCCTTAACCTTACAAACGAACTCGTCCCTAATTGCACCTATGCCCTTGAATCTTGCCACAAGAGATCTCAGTTCCGACCTGGGACTCCACCCCAAACTTCCAAAAATCCTTGGCACACCCCTTTTCGCACTTCCAGGCCCACATCCTACTCCGATCAGGAAGTCGTGCCGGACGTGAGGTTGGTATCGGAGCCGAAACGTGGCAGGGTTATAGGATTCGTAGGACGATAATTGAGATCCAAGCGATCTGGCTAACAGGGGACGACCTCGACCCCTGAACGCGCATCGACGCGACCCCATCGTTACAAGAAGCCGGTCTGCGGCTCGACGGGCGGTCAACATGATTGCCAATTAACAGAATCCGAACCCACAACAGAACCCCAATCAACAACTAAATCCTAATCAACCCGTACCCTGAGCGCGGGTACCTATGACCCCACCCGATCTCTATCTGCTCGATCCCACTCACCATCTTGATGGAGGATGGCTGGCCACGCTCCTGGCTCAGCAGTACGATGACAACGAGGTACATATAAACATTCTCGCCCGATTAGGGGGAGATGCTCATCATTGTTTTAGCACCTATGTATGGGTTGATCTCCCAACATTCGAGCGAGACTTTCTGAACCTATGTATCACCCGCGGTCATGATCGCGGGCTTTCTTGCTGCATGCGGTCGGGACCCCGCCCGCGGCGATCGACCCCGCGGCCGACTGCGGGCATGAAACCCGGGGATTTAAAAAAAAAACAAAAATAATAGGCTAAAAAAAAATATATATATATATATATGGGTTTGTAGGGTTTGAAATTCCTTACAACCGTATATTTTTAGTTTTATTTTTTGACTTTAATTTTAAAAAAAATAAAAAACAGAAATCCCTCGCGCAAAAGTTCTTCACTTTGTTATTTTAGTAACAAAAATAAAGAATTTTTGTTTGATTTTTATCTCAAATGTGGTAACGAATTTTGATATGACCTCAAGGCGAAAGCTGTTCAGTTTCTTCTTTGATTTTTTTTTTTTTTTTTTTTTTTTTTTTTTCCATGACCGAGGACCGAGGTCATGACCGCGGCCTCGCGGCCGAGACCGCAGTCTGCGGTCGTGCCCGCGGCGACCACGACCGCGGGGGATTCATAGTTCTGAACCGATTCGATTATATCCACCTGGAACAGACCCTTTTTATGATTAAAGATCGAGTCCAAAAACCCCTCGAGTCTGTCACCGAGTACCGAAACCAATTTTATTTAATGTTTGTGAAAACCGAACGAGGCGAACAGGTAGGTAGAGATTTGTTTATCGATGGGCTTCAAGGCCAAGCGATGAGGGGGAAACTGCGGAAACAGTTCTCCCCCGTCAATCACACGCTGCAACAGATCATGGCGGCTGCAGGAGAGATGGAGCAAAAATTCGCCGCTAGTTTCCTAGAAGGAGACGATTATTCTAAGGAAAACCAAACTAGCAAGAGCTAAAGCTGAGCTGGCTGCACTGCAGAACAAGTTTGAAAACATGGGGTTCGTGGCTGGCCCTGTTACCTATCTGGAACAGATTACCCCCAAATGACAAGTCCCGAGTGTGATTACAGGCATACCTGTTCCCGTGATAACAACACTCCCACCGCCGATCGAAACTCCCGCACGATCGAATGAGTCAACCACCATATTGGAACTGACCAAGACACTAATCAATCCGATCCAAGAAAGCAAAAAGGAACAGCGGGAGCATAATGCTCGAATAGAGGCGATGATGAGATCGATGCGACCAATAGCGGTACGTGCCGCCCCGATTCAACAAGGGCTGGCTCCAGCACCCGCTATCGGAGGGGCCGCTGGAAATTTTAATGTCTGTTACACGTGTCACCAACCTGGGCATATAGCCCGAGACTGCCCTCATCGACCCCCATAACCACGGGTCGGAGCCGCACCGGTAGCAGCAACCTCGATCGCTAACGGACCGGGACGAGGAGGAGGGTTAATGAAAGAAATGGATGAAGGTTCGAAACGAGTTAGCTACGTCGTAAGAAGCTGCTGAGGCGGCTGAGCTCATTCCGTTGGATCAATATGTAACACTTGGTTATCCGGGATTGGGCATGATTGGAACGATCAGACCCGCCCCGGAACAAAGGGAAGTGGCGGAGTGGCGACCTTCTCCAGGAGAAATGGAGTCGGGAGGACCCACCTTCGTCACCGGGGAAATCGAGATGTTCAACATTGTTCGGGCATTAGATCATCGGATTCCTCTTCCGATTGGTCATTTATTATCCATATGAGAACAGGCCAACGACCGCATGCTACAACATTGTAAGGCGAACCGAAAGCGATTCGCCCTCGCTCGGACAGCAAGCACGAAAGGAAAAAGTTCAATACAAGATAAACACACTGCTGGTACTTCAAACCCGATACGTTTAGGACTAATCTAGAAAGATGATCACTTCCTATGGATTAAAACGATTCCATGGAAATCCGCAGAATGCGACATCGAAGTATGGGGAGTCCCGTACAATGTCATTATCGATTCCAGAGCAGTTGTCTTAGCTATCTCACTACGGGTAGTCGAAAGAGCAAGGAGAAAGAAAGATCTGATTATGCTTACGGAAAAAGATCAGCTCATTTCAGAAGATGAGGAAAAGATCAAAAAAATGAGACGAATGACCAACGTTGCTTTTCGATTGGGAATGGTGCATGCTCTGGGAAATGTTGTAGTGTTAGACATGAGCACTTATGACGTTCTTTTGGGCCTACCTTCTCTTATGGCTCTGCGAACCAACCTGGACTTCGAGAGACGATTAATTATCCTATGAAATATAGGAGGAAAATCGTACGCCATACCCATGAGATTGACCCTTCGTACCACAACTACAGTAGCCCCTCGAGTTTCGCCCATGATGGTAGGAGCTCTCCGCGTGATCACTTGGGAAAGCCCCGCAGATGGTGAGCAATCATCGGATGATGCGAACAGCAGTGACGATGAAGATGAGGAGATTATGGAACTAGCGCAATAGTGCATCTACTACCCTGCGCAACGAGCATGCATGAGACCGTTGAGCCTAACTGCTCGGAACTTGCAAAGAACATAAGCGATGCTTTTGGGTGAGCCTCTCGTACAAATATCGCAGATGGTCGATTCTTTGGAACCCTCTCGAACCTTGTACGAAGGCATCTCCCCTCTTCTTGCACGATACAACGACAAAAGACACTTGTGTGACATTACGAACCTGCCACGATTTTTTTTTTTCACCCGTGAAAAAAATACGATTGCTACGTTTAGGGGCGGAGGCTAACTCTTTGGAACCCCCTGAGTGACTCGAAAATGGATCCAGCAGTCTTGGAGTAAAGATCTCGACAAGACCTGTGTCGTGGCAGGATAATCGCGATGGCATGACCCCGAAATAACAAGTGGCAATACGGGAAGAAAACACTCACATGATGGCTACGGTGTTTTCTTGGCGATCGGATAATTCCTTCATCTCCGCACCGCCTCCCGAAAACACCAAACGAGTAAGCACTAAACATATCGACGTGCAGATATGGAACCAGTCGTACGAGTTGCACGTGCCCCACTGCGTACCTAACGAGATTCATCATCTAATTGTGGACATTGTAAAAGAATATTAGGGAGCGATTAGCGTAACTGACACAGACATTGGATTATCATTAGTGATACAGCACGAAATTCAGACGGAAAACCATCCTCCCATTTATTGTAAACCTTACAGGTATTCCCTGGTGGAACGGGAGACAGCCCTCCAGCGGATTCAAGAGTTCGAAGCTAGCGGATGGATCGACCCCGCTACCGGGCCATGGTCGTTCCCGGTAGTGCTAGTACCGAAGAATAATGGGTCGATTCGCATCTGCATCGATAATCGCAAACTGAATGATATCACGATTAAAGATGTGTATCCCCTTCCCCGGATTGATGATTTGCTGATGCGATTGGGTGTGCTAACTATTTAAGCAAGTTTCATATTCGACACGATTTTCATCACATTCTGGTTAAGGAAGAAGACCGACCGAAAACGGCCTTCGTGTTGTTTGAAGGCACGTGGCAGTGGGTTCAGTATCCAATGGGGATTCGCAATGCACCTGCTACGTTTCAACGGGCTATGAACGTGACCTTTAAGAACTTTGTCAACAAGACGCGACTAACTCAGTGGATGATCAACTTTTGCGCCATCGTGTACATGGACGACATTCTGGTTTACTCGGAGACTTATCACGGACATGCACCGCATATTGAGTGGACGTTGGGAGCTCTGAGAGACGCTGGGTTCAAGATCGCGTTAGAGAAGAGCGAGTTTTTCCTCTCGGAGATCTCGTTTTTGGGTTACGTGGTGACACGGGGAGTATTGCGGCCAGATTCGAGGAAAGTCGCGGCTGTGAGAAACGCCCCTGTTCCCACATCACTAACGCAAGTTCGAGTCTTTTCGGGACTGGCGTCGTACTATCGCCGATTCATCAAGGGTTTTGCAGCGATTGCGCGGACCCTAACGAGCTTGTTACGAAAGGACCAGCCCCTCAGTTGGGACGCCGAGTGTGAACAGGCTTTCGCCACCCTCAAAGACGCCTTGGCTACAACGCCTATTTTGATCCAACCGGACCCTACAAAGCAGTTCATTCTCATTACAGACTGGTAGCCAGAGGCGATTTCCGTTATTTTAGCGCAGAAAGGGAACGACGACCATGAACACGTCATCGAGTACGCATCTCATACGGTGCCAGACGAACGAAGGAACGATTCGGCCCCGCAAGGCGAATGCTACGCTGGGGAATCCAGCAGTTCCATCCGTATCTCTACGGACAGAAGTTTCTTCTTGTGACTGATCACGAGCCACTGCTGGCTCTCAAAAGGCTCACCAATTATACGAGCATGATTGGGTGTTGGGCAGTGCGCCTACAGGAGTACAATTTTGACATCATCCATCGAAAGACGGAGAGGCACGAGAACGAGGACGGATTGACACGTCTACACCGACCAGCTAAGGTACCTAAGGGGGAGGAAATTATCCCGTGGAAGGAACCGGAATCAACAAACTGACCCAAGTACAGATAGGTGGTAGTTCTTCCACGCGACAAGACGCAGGCACGTGGCGATGGGGGACGGAGGTAACTCTAACACTCCCCTCTCTCCCCTCTCGTCTCCGTCTTTTCTCTCTCTACCAGATAAATTTTGTTATTTTTGCGAAGCGATCTCGCGCGTCTACTCTGTCCCTATCCTACCTAGTGGGGAAGGATATGCCGACTGGGTGGATTGCGGACAGTGTGTCGCAAGACCCCATGGCTCTTGCATTCAGTACAGAAATAGCGACAAGCCTTAGTTGTGCCCCTTGTGTCGAGTCGATAAGATCCCGAACGAGACTCGATTCCTCGACGCCACGTCAGAAGGGTTAGAGAGGACCTAAAAATTTAGAAAGGCCGAGGTATGGATGGATATCGCTTTAATAGCCACCTTGGTAGGTAACCCCCTCCAGGACTTCACTAAGGAGGACCGGAGGTGGGCCAACGAAAGGGCTCGAGACTATCGATGAAATGAGGGCCATTTAGAAAAACGGAAGACGGACGGTAGTGGGATTTTGATGGTAGTGTTGCACCCGTTCATGAGGTATGACTAGGTTAAGTCGGCACATGAAGAGACTGCAGCCCATTTTATTGTCCGGATCATGGAAGCGGCAATCGACAAAAACGAGTGGTATTGGTCCAACATTCGCGACGATGTTAAATTCATCGTCTGAAACTTTCAGGTCTGCGCGGTCGATAAGGCGCCGATTCAGCCGCCGAGATCGATAGTGCCGACGGTAGTTGAATGGTCTTTCCAGAGAGTTAGCATGGATACTACCGATATTGTGGTGCCTTTTGGACCTAATAGATGTGAATATTCAGTCCTACTAGTATTCGTAGATCACTTTTCGAAATGGATCGCGGCGTATCCATGTCGTACGCGACAGGCGGATGAAATTGTGCGATACGTCAACCGTTTTCTCGGAATGCATCAAGATACAAAGGAGATCCTGACCGATAATAGTGCGGAATTTAGAGGGGAAGTTCTGAGCAATCTGGTCATACACGGCGTCGTTATTCGGAACACTGCACCCCATATATCACAGTCCAATGGGCTGGTAGAAAACACGAATCAGGTGATTAAGACTGCACCGGGACGAAATATTGCGGCACAGGATCCAAAGCCCTGGCCTGATATCGTAGATCACATCCTGGTGGTCCTTCGAGGAACGCCTCACGAATCGACGGGTCTAACCCCCTTTCAGTTACGGACCAATAGCGTGGCTTGTGTTTCGATACCAAGCCTCCCTGACAAATCTACGTTGAACCGACGGCCTACGAGGGCCACGGTTCAGGACAAGGCGAAGCGACACTTGGAACTGATGGAACGGTCCCTCCCCAAGCTGGCCCGAAAGCGTCAGTGGATGACTGACTTGGCCCACGGACGACAGGTCCGCAGTTACGAGGCCCGAAATGGGAACGCAGGTCCATGGCCCCAGTACAAATTAGGGGACATGGTGCATGTAAGGAAATGTGCTTGTCAAGGGAAGATAGCGTCACGATTCTTCGGGCAATTCCGTGTGATCGAGCTCGGCCTTAACGGAGTGAACACCGTGCGACTCGTGTCGGAAGTCTCGGGGAGCCGATCGGCTTGACCGATTGTCCGCCACGTGTCCTATCTGCATCCTCTCCCTTCGTCTCCATCTCCACCTTCGCCTACTTCCCCTGACGATACAGGGGAAGACGACAACGGCCTATCCTCTTCTTCTCGGTCTTTCTCTCCTTCCGTCACTCCGTCCCCGCCGCCATCGGAGAGAAGGTTAACAACAGGCGTATTTTTCATCACCACTTCAGGACACCTGTCACCACTTCAGGATGCAGCCTGCCTAAACAAGTGGTTTTAAGGGTCGTCGGACCTTTCACCACTTCAAAAGCATTTAGGTCTGAAAATCCTGAATGATCCTGAAGTGGTGAAAGCTCCGAAGACCCTGAAAACCACCTGTTTAGGCAGGCATCCTCAAGTGGTGAAGGGTGGTTTTCATGGTCTTCGGACCTTTCACCACTTCAGGACCATTCAGGATTTTCAAACTGCCCAAAACTCTCACTTGACCACTTCAGGAAACCCTTCACCACTTCAGGATGCAGCCTACCTAAACAGGTGGTTTTCATGTTCTTCGGACCTTTCACCACTTCAAGACCATTCAGGATTTTCAGACTGCCAAAAACTCTCACTTCTGAATTTTCAGCTATCCGATAACCGCTTGTGATGCCAAGAGGGGAGAGGGGGACGGGGTAAAGTCAAGGCTTTTAGAGTGTGAGAGAGGGATGACGAAGGGGAGAGGGAGGCGGTGGCGAAAGAAGGAGAAGAAAGGCAAGAGAGAGAGAGAGAGAGAGAGAGAGAGAGAGAGAGAGAGAGAGAGAGAGAGAGAGAGAGAGAGAGAGAGAAAGAGAGAGAAAAAAAAAAAAAGAAAAAAAAAAAGCTTCTACTCCTAGTCAACTCACCCCCTACTTGTCCTACCGTCATACCCAAGGTCCTCTTTCTACACCTTGTTTCTTTGTGCCCCCATAGACCATGGCCTTTGGTTGGTGAATGAGGTGAAGCGGGAAGGGGGAGTGAGGCGGTCGGATATGGAGGATGGTTGAGGACGATGGAGGAGGAAAACGGCGCGAGGTGGTTGGTTATGGCGAACGGCGAAGGAGATGGAGGTGGGAGATGGTGCAAGGAGGTTGGCTATGGTGGATGGGTGAAGGAGATGGAGGAGGAGGATGGTGCGAGGTGGTTGGCTATGGTGGATGGGTGAAGAAGATGGAAGAGGAAGATGGTGTGAGGTGGTTGGCTATGGCGGATGGGTGAAGGAGATGGAGGAGGAAGATGCCGTGAGGTGGGTAGCTATGGCGGATGCGTGAAGAAGATTGAGGAGGGATATGGGGCGAGGTAGTTGGCTATGGTGGGTGGATGAAGAAGAAGAGGAGGAAAGTTGGCTATGGTGGATGGGTGAAGGAGAGGGAGGAGGAAGATGGTGTGAGGTGGGTGGCTATAGTGGACGGGTGAAGGAAATGGAGGAGGAAGATAGTGCGAGGTGGTTGGCTATGCCGGATGGGTGAAGGAGATGGAGGAGGAAGATGGTGCAGGGTGGTTGGCTATGGTGAATGGGTGAAGGAGATGGAGGAGGAAGATGGTGTGAGGTATCCGATGCTTCGTCCTACTTTACGCGTCCGGCTTTGTTTCCCTAAGTTTTCCCTTGTCCCTGACTTCAAAAAAACTCAGACTTGCAGTACCAGTCTTACAACAGATATGCAGAAAGTACAGACTTGCACAAAACACAGACTTCAAGAAACGCAGTTCTTGCAAATCTGAAGATCTGCAGATTTTGCAGATTTTGCCGTTTTTGCCATTTTTGCCTAAGGAGGGAGAACCGAAAAGCATAGGCCGGCATTTCCTAACCTAAACGAGGTCAGAATCAGTCCGATTTTTGTGGTCTCTCTGTCTGTGCTCTATGGACACACTCTACCAAATTTGGTCGGATTCCATTGTCGTTTGCCCCTACTTCCTATTTTCGGGCGTCGTCCGAGCCCCAAGGTGAACAACTCGGTAAAGTTCATTTTCCGTTTTTGCTGGAAAATGGAGTCTAATGACCTGCACATTCTGCAGGTCATCTGTTTATGCCTAGGATATGGGGTCTGTGAAGTCACAAACCCCATACCTCTATTTTGGCGGAGTTGGCTATAGCCCCCCCCCCCCCCCCAAGTCGCACCGGAGCCTTAACATTTCCCGGGTCGGCTTTGCTCCGGGGGACCTCTTGATGATTCTCAGCAGCAGCAGCAGCCGGGCTTGGCCAGTTATCAATAGGAACAACAACAGCTACTTACCTACCAGTAGCAACAGCTACATCAGCAGTCTCAGCAGCAATAGTCGTCGTCATAGTCTCCTACCTGTCTCCCCTTTTCCCGTGGTCGATTAGAGCACGGAGGGGGTTGAACTAAACAAGTGTGACCAGGCTACACATACACATAAGATTATGAAGGCAAAAATTATTGAACGGGAACACTACCAAGTCACTGATGAGTGGACCGCACAAGTGACAGAACACTACCAAGTGACAGATGAGTGATCTGCACATACATGTGAAGTCATGAAAACAACAAGTACTGAACCAGAACACTACCAAGTGACAGATGAGTGATCTGCACAAGTGTGACTAGACTACACATACACATGAGATTATGAAAGCAACAAGTACTGAACCGGAATACTACCAAGTGACAGATGAGTGAACTGCACAAGTGTGACTAGACTACACATACACATGAGATTATAAAAGCAAGAAGGACTGAACAGGAACACCACCAAGTGACAAATGAGCGAACGAGACAAGTGTGACTAGACTACACATACACATGAGATTATGAAAGCAACAAGGATTGAATCGGAATGCCACCAAGTGACAGATGAGTGATCTGCACAAGTGTGACTAGGCTACACATACACATGAGATTATGAAAGTAAGAAGTACCGAACCGGACCATTACCAAACAGAATGTGAGTGGAAAGCAAAGGTTAGCCTAGATCAAACACATGTATGGAACAAGGGAAGCAATGAAGATTGGACCGAGATATCACCAAGTGAAGGATGAGTGAAAAACACTAGCCTGACAAGATCAAAACACACGCATTGAGCAAGGGAAGCAATCAAGATTGAACCGAGATATCAACAAGTGGAGAATAAATAAAGAACACTTTAGACTAGATCAAACATATGTTTAGAACAAAGGAAGCAATCAAGATTGATCCGAGATATCACCAAGTGGAGGATGAGTGAAAAACACTAGCTGAACTAGATCAAATACATGTATGAAGCAAAGGACGCAATCAAGATTAAGCCAAGATATTACCAAGTGGAATATGAGCGAAAAACACTAACTAGACCAGATCAAACACATGTATGGAGCAAAGGAAGCAATCATTGAGCCCAAATATCACCAAGTGGAAGATGAGTGAGAAGCACTAGCTAGACTAGATCAAACACATGTACGAAGCAAAGGAAGCAATCAAGATTGAACCGAGATATCACCAAGTGGAAGATGACCGAAAAACACTGGCTAGGCTAGATCAAACACATGCATGGAGCAAAGGAAGCAATCAAGATTGAACCGAGATATCACCTAGTGGAAGATGACTGAAAAACAGTAGCTAGACTAGATCAAACACATGTATGGAGCAAAGGAAGCAATCAAGATTGAACTGAGATATCACCAAGTGAAAGATGAGTGAAAAATACTAGTTAGACTGGTTCAAACACATGTATGGAGTAAAGGAAGCAATGAAGATTTAACCGAGATATCACCAAGTCGAAGATGAGTGAAAAACACTAACTACACTAGATCGAACACATGTATTGAAAAAAGGAAGCAATTAAGATTGAACCAAGATATCGCCAAGTGGAGGATGAATGAAAAACACTGGCTAGACTAGATCAAACACATGTATGGATAAAAGGAAGTAATCAAGATTGAATCGAGATATCACCAAGTGGAGGATGAGTGAAAAATACCAGCTAGGCTAGATCAAACAAATGTATGAAGCAAAGGACGCAATCAAGATTCAACCGAGATATTACCAAGTGGATTATGAGCGAAAAACACTTGCTAGACCAGATTAAACACATGTATGGAGCAAAGGAAGCAATCAAGATTGAGCCGAGATATCACCAAGTGGAAAATGAGTGAAAAGCACTAGCTAGACTAGATCAAACACATGTATAGAGCAAAGGAAGCAATCAAGATTGAACCGAGATATCAGCAAGTGGAAGATGAGCGAAAAACACTAGCTAGGCTAAATCAAACATATATATATGGAGCAAAGGAAGCAATCAAGATTGACCCGAGATATCACCAAGTGGAAGATGAGTGAAAAACACTAGCTAGACTATATCAAACACAGTTCAAACACATGTATGAAGTAAAGGAAGCAATGAAGATTGAACCGAGATATCACCAAGTGGAAGATGAGTGAAAAACACTGACTATACTAGATCAAAAACATGCATTTACTAGATCAAAAACATGTATTGAGCAAAGGAAGCAATCAAGATTGAACCGAGATATCACCAAGTGGAGGATGAGTGAAAAACACTAACTAGACTAGATCAAATACATGTATGGATTAAAGGAAGCAATCAAGATTGAACCGAGATATCACCAAGTAACAGTCATTTCGTCAAAACGGACATATTATGTTTTTTCAACGAAATCAAAACTGATTTTTTTTGCCAAAATCCGGTCGGAAGTTTTTGCTCCTTGGCAAAAAAAGTCAGTTTTGATTTCGTTCAAAAAATATAATATGTCTGTTTTGACGAAATGGTTGTTAAGTGGAAGATGAGTGAAAAACACTAGCAAGACTGGATCAAACACATGTATGGAGCAAAGGAAGCAATCAAGATTGAACTAAGATATCACCAAGTGGAGGATAAGTGAAAAACACTAGCTAGACTAGATCAAACACATGTATGGAGTGAAGGAAGCAATCAAGATTGAACCGAGATATCACCAAATGGAAGATAAGTGAAAAACACTAGCTAGACTAGATCAAACATATGTATGGATCAAAGGAAGCAATCAACGTTGAACCAAGATACCACCAAGTGGAAGATGAGTGAAAAACATTAGCTAGACTAGATCAAACACATGTATACAGCAAATGAAGCAATCAAGATTAAAACGGAATATCAAAATGTGAGATATGAGTCACACATGTGAGTGGACTTGCTCAAACACATGCATGGAGCTCATGTATGCAACCAAGAATGAAACCGAACATCATCATGTGAGATATGACCCACACATGTGAGTGAGACTTGCTCAAACACGTGCATGGAGATGATGCAAGCAACCAAGAATAAAAAGGGATATCACTACGTGAGATATGAGTCACACGTTTGAGTTAGACTTGCTCAAACACATGGCATTGCATGGAGCTCATGTTAGCAACCAAGAATTAAATGGAACATCATCATGTGAGGTGTCAGTCACACATGTTAGTGAGACTTGCTCAAACACATGCGTGGAGCTCATGTAAGCAATCAAGAATTAAACGGGACATCAGTATGTGAGAAAACTGTGCAAAGTAAGCGAAAAGAGCATACTTGCGGCGCATGTATGTGCTGTGTCATGTGCGGTGCGCTATGCGCGTGGAGCAGATGTGCGCGCATCGCGCATCTGAGTGTGTCGTGCGGCATGCGCACATCTGTATGTGTCGTGCGCTGGTGCGCTGGTGCACGCGCAACTGCGGGTTGTTCCCCTGGGTGGTGCGCTAGATGCGCCGCAATATTATTATTATTATTATTTCTATCGAGTCTCCCCCTGCTACATTGCGCGTTGCATAGCCAAAACCGTGCCTTTCTGTGCTCCCCCCGACGATTTGAGCAGAAAGCAGGGCTTCCATCTCTCTCTCTCTCTCTCTCTCTCTCTCTCTCTCTCTCTCTCTCTCTCTC